TGGTCAGACTCAGCCCATTGCTTTACTGAAGTATATTATATTTTCCTTTTACAGCTGCAGACTGAGGAAGATCCTGAAACACCAGCAAACCCTAAAACACACAACAGTTTACAGATGTTTTTCAGCGGCAGCAGAACTACGACTAAACTTTTGGGTGAAACTTGTTTACTTTTTTCATACTTTTCACGAAACGGTCGTCCATAAAATGCATTGCTGTTCTGTTGTAAGTAATCTTAAAGATTCCTAAATGCATCTACTTTCGGAAGGCCAAATAAAGTGCTTTTGCTTTCGCCTAGAAACACACAACGTCTCCCTGACATGGCTGCTTCAACACTAACTGCGGTTACTGAAACCACGCCTTCTTTCTTTGCGTGCACATTTGGGCAGCATTATGCAAATATTTCCACATAGTGACGTAGATATGTGGGGGCGTGTTAGAACGAGCTGTTTTAGGGGGGCGTGGCAGAGTCTTAACTTTTATAAAGAATATCTCTTTGGTTTGAGACTTTAGTCCTTGCAACTTCAGGGATCTTATCTATGCACAATCAGCTTGTAACACTCCAAAGAGAAAGGAAAACTTGAAATCGCATTATATGACCCCTTTAAGGTCAAACCAAACAGACATTTCAACAGAGTTGTTGTCCACAGAAACCAGGCCTGTTTTTACACTTACCCAAATCCTTTAAGCTCACCATTACGCCCAGAAATATGTTTTTTGTGGAAAGTGTTGCTTTAATGGGATAGGAGGGCTATTGCTAATGTGGCAAATTCAGTCAAGTTGCTGTTTCATTTACCATAACCAATACATTAAACACAGCTTTCTTGTCATGGAAGCGCCGCTCATTCTAAGTTTAAGCTTTTTTTTTTTTGGAGAAAACAGTCATTGTGTGAGAGATGTTATCAATTTTCTGACCACTGTGCTCTTTTTTAGTGACGGTTGCATGAAGTGTGAAAAAAATTATAAGTGAAGTTCACTTTGGCAGCCTATACAAAATTAAATTTCATGAGTTTTTGAAGAATTTAAAAAACACACATGCAAAAGTGTGAGTCTGAAATATTACCTGATTGCAAGAACTTTCATATATAAAACTTAGTAGTAGCTTATCACAAAAATAGTAGCTTATCACAAATGTTCAGCCCCATTTATGGCAAAATATCATACAATTACATTAAACAGTGTGACATTATAAATATGCATTTCAGCTGCTGAGCAGCTCTAGTGGTATTTAACCATTTTGGCTGAGTGACTGCATTCAAACATAATGAACATCAAGGGAGGATTTGTGGCATAACAAGCAGGATCAATGCACATATGAGGGAGAATGATTCTGCCTCAGGAAATATATGGAGTTATTAAAGTAAAAATGTTTGAAAGACAATGGTAATGATCTGAATGAGCACAATTACATATATTTTCATCAATAGGTAGGAAATGTTTTGTGTATGTGCTTATGTGTCCACCACATACAGGTGAAGAGCCTATACATATACCATTTAACACTTACACACAATGTCAACAGACGATAACGAACAGACAAATAATGTTTACTAGACAAATATTAGACCTTCAGATATCAAGCTTTTGTATTGTATTCTGCCCCCAATAGCTATCAATCTTGTCATACACTAGAGAAAATACACAGCGATATATAAACACGCATATTTTTGGTTTGAACTCACCTACGACAGCTGGATAACAACATGCGAGCGTCTGTATGACGGCTGTCTGAGTGTCACTCACCTAACACCGCCGAGGACATCGCGTGAGATCTTCGCTTTGCTCTGCTTTATGAATACGTCAGCTGTGCTGTTGCCGTCGTCGGTACTGGTGCTGAAACTGCACGGCCAGGTCCAGCAAGGCTTCCCCAGCGGCCAGAGCCTTATCCAGATGCAACCAGGTGCAGCGAGTCCATTGACCACTGAATAAATCCTCAATCACATGCTGACATCGATCATCCATGGCGCTGTCAACACTCAGCGAATTTCCTCATCATTTTAGAAGAGCAGTTTTCAGCTTCCATGCATTCGTACACTACGTTCGGCCGCGTAGCTCTATTATTTCGCTGTATTTGTCTGTTTTGTTTGCCTGTAGGCTAAGTTGTTGTATGCGCCATCTGTCTCATCTTGACTGGAAAATTACGCAACGTGAGGTGCATTATTCATAGATGTACTGAAACGAGCCAATGAGAGTGAATGCGCAAAGATCTCGCGTACAAAGAGGTTGAAATTCAGTACAGGTGAGAGCAAAGACTGGATTTGGTGGCGATCTGAACATGTAATTACTGAACATATCGTCTTACTGAGGTTGTTTTGTACTTTGAGCTGTATTGCAGCCGATATTGATCACTTCTTTAAGGATCATTCCATGAAATGGGTTGTTTGGTGTCCCTTATCAATTCCAGTCATGGGGCCCCGCTGCTCTGCACATTTTGCATGTCTCCCAGTCCGATATGTAACACACCTGATTGCGATCATCAGCTCGTTAGTTCAGTTCATGGATCTTTCTCCTAACAAGCTGATGATCTCAATCGGGTGTGTTAGGGAGACATGCAAAATGTGCAGAGCAGGGCCCCCCCAGGACTGGAATTGAGAACCACTGGTGTAAAAAAAATAACCAACAACATAAAGCTGACTCTTTTAGCTACACATCAATAAAAATTGATTAAAAGTATGTTATATTTAATTTTTATTCTTTTTTCTCAGTGTAGATGTCTTTCTGACCCCATGTTTGCTCTCATGTGTTTTTTTTTCCCGTCGATACATGTTTTTAGATTATAGTGGATATAGGCTAATATTTTATAAACACGTGTTCCCAGTTTATGCATCAGCCCAGTTACCATCATGAATTCATTTAATTAAATTGTGTTGCATAATTAAAAAAAAAAAAAAACTAGAAAGAACATCAAGGACCTAATGTCACTTTATCACTTTATATTGTAGGCTACTGTAAATCTACTTTTTTTCAGTAGGGGGCGATCTTAAATCGTTAACCCAGCTTTTGGTCACTAAACTGATTATTGAAAATGTGATGAAAAATAAAATGCTGTAAAAATATCAGCATTTAATGAAAGCACAAAATTAACAATAAAACTGTCACCCTGTTACCTCTGTAAAGACGCAGCTTTTTAAAAACATTAACCTTTTTAAATTTAGAATGAGATGAAAGTAGCCTACATTCGCTAATCTTTTTTTTTCTAATAGAATATTTAAAATCTTATAAATGTATAAAATTCACTCTAAAAATTACCTTTTCAAAATAGAAGAGGCACCCATTTCATGGAATGACTTTCAAACAGTCACTGTCACTTAGAACCTAAAGACTAAATTATAATTGGTTTACGGACGGCTGTTCAGCTTGACAAGCGCGTAGGCCTATAATTATAACACTGACTGATAATTACATTGTCAGTCTACATCAGCAAGCAGTGAAGGTAGGACCCCTGATAATATTTAAATAACAACCACTTTCTTATTTATTAGGTACATGTCTCATAAAGTCATTTGCACTCAAGTTTAAACTTATTGTACTGAAGATTCATTACATTTATAACTAAATGGCTATTGATAATGACTATTAATTAATACCTAACAATGCTGGTTCATATATAGTCATAAACTCCTAATTCAGAAATCGTGACATTATTTATAAATGTTGTTGAAATTTCATTAAAAATGCATTTTTACATGCAGAAGTTGGATCAAAATGTCATTACTAAAGAAACTTTGCTTTAGGATTAGACTGTCAAAAACTATATTATTTATATACATACATGGTCATTTACTTTACAATAATGATCTCTGTGGAATCACACATATGCACAAAAGCAAATAAATATATAAGTTTTGTTAACTTTGGACATTGCACTGAGCAGATACAGGCCATACAGAGTGTTTAATTGGCTTATGTCTTCACAAGGAGGAGTTTTAAAAAGTAGGTTTTTCTTGTAGGGTTTGACTCGAGAATTCAGAGTTAGCCTTGTAGTCCTTCCAGAGTTATGAACTAAAATGCAGAAATGTATTTATGATTAGCACCACCTGGTGTCTGACATGTGTGTTGGAGCGCTTGAGTACTGGAGAGATTTGAATACACCACCAATCTGAGATCTCTGTGACAACTCACACACATGCACGCAGACACATTTAGGCCAGAAAAAAATAGTAGAAATACAATAGGGTTTCAGAAGCTTCAGTGCTTGGACCCCTAATACAGTTTAAGCTCACTGAAATTCAATTTTAAATATAAAATGAAAATAGCGTCATAAAATATAATATTTAATATTATACACTTCACTGATGCTGCAATTAATTTGTAATCTTAGTCACACCAGTCCTATTTTGTATTATTTTTTCCATTAGCATTTTGTATGCATTTATAATCTTTATGTCTATATCATATCAGCATGAATCAGATCCAGATAAAATTATCATCAGTCATTTTAAAGGTTAATAATTTGAATTACTCACAAAAATGACTTGAATGTATTTGAAAGAGAATGTATTTTCTCACAGCTGTACACATTTACATATATACAGTACCTACACCTGACTATTGCATTAATTGGCAGTACTGTACAGTGTTATTGAAAAGTTCCATGTAGTTTAAGGATATGTTTTAATTAAATAAATAACACATTTTAAATAGCACTTGCTGTTTTCATCTTCCAGAAAAATTATATAATCTCAAGAGACGATGTGTAGAGGTCAACAAGAGAAGGTTTTGGCCTTTAATGACTTTACCAGAATGGTGGGAATAGAGGGGCCAAGCAAATAGGTAATGCAATTAGTGCTTTGGGGAACAAAGAATGTTAGCTTCTAGAGACAAAAGTTGATGAGTTCTGTGACCTAAGTCGGAAGGACGTAATAATAATAAGCACTTATGCGTTTCCTGACGGAGGGTGGAGAAGGGATATTTACCTCGATACGCAGAACGCCATGCTTATTTTTAAAAGACCCCAAAGAAAAAATCATCATGACTTAGAGTCGTTACAATGGAACAGTGTTGAGCGTAACGCATTACTTAGTAACGCGTTACTGTCATTTGATTGCTTTTTTAATAACGGAGTAATTGAAAGCGTTATAATTTTCAAAATAGTAATTAGAGTATAGTTACAAGCCGAGGTCTCTATACGTTACTGCCGCGTTACATTGCTGACTGAATGCAGTGTTTTATAATCTACCGATTGTAAAAAGGATGTAGCATACGCACTGTCGAGTCAAGTGCCAGTGGATTAGAGACCTGCTCGGGACTCCCGCAAAATAGAAATATCTAAACAAAATAGCTAAAACAAATAAATTGTTATTCATCAATTGCACAAAAGCAACATGAACTAATATAAAATATAAACGATTAACAGGTGCAAGCGTATGCAGACTAATTACTAATTACTTTTGAAATAAAGTAATCAGAACAGTAATGTGATTACTTTTAAAAGGAGTAATCAGTAATTTGATTACATTTTCAGAGTAACTTGCCCAACACTGCAATGGAGCATGGCAAAAAAAAAAAGCCCAGGTGGACTAATCTGGCCTTTTTCAGAGCTATCACCAGGAGAAACCTCAGGATAACATCAGCTAGTTTATATAAAGTTCAGAGACACTGGCACTAAACACTCCACATCCACAAACAATAATTGCATTGTTTTCTGTATATGTCTCTGTGTCTTTACAAAGGTTCAAAGATTCAAAGTTCAAAGACGTTGATGTCAACGTCCCAGACGTCAGAGCCACCAAAACCTGTCTACCCTCTTTGAGAACCGAAGATCTCACTGTCTTAAGTGGAAAAATCATGTACGTCAAACAAAGGATATCCTTTAAGCTGAATAGCAGGCTCCTTCTGTGAGGCCTCTATATATTAATTGGCGCCCTGTTTCTTTGCTTTTGTCTGATCCACCTTTTTGGCATTCTTGGTGACAGGATGCTTGTTGACATGGGAAAACATTTTAATTGTTTTACACTATGTTCACATAGGTTGCCAGGTCCTACTGAGCATTAAAGATTACTTTCTTCCCAATACTCACAGGCTGGCTGCATATTTAATACTAATTATATTTCAGATCGATTCCATTATTTCACAACTTATTTAGCGTCAGAATGCATTAATTTGATCACTTTACTGACTTTAACCTTCCTGCACGTTGGTTGAGTGATGACTCAGTATGACACTTAAGTGGGTTTGCTTTGGTTGGAGAGTGGCTCTGTTTTAAATAGTGCTTCCCATTGATGCAAAACAATGACAATAGCCTGATGGTTAGCCAGAGCTATTTTAAGCTTATGTGAAGTGGACCTATTGAAAATTTAATTGATAGTTCTTCTTGTATGTATGTTCATTTTACTGTATTGGTGTCATACACCTGTGGCCTGGAGTCATTGTATTTTTTGGTAAACACATTTGTTCAGTTAATTTCCAACTTATTTAGAGGCTGACAGAATGTGAAAACATTTTAGAGCTTTGTACTTCAGGTAGGTTCAGGGCTCAGCTGCAATTATGAGTAAGATATACAGTATATATATTATACTGTAATGCTGTTAACTGCAACAGAATATTAACGTTATATCCAAGCCATATTTGCCCCTTTTTATGTGTAGATAACTAAGTGTGACTTTACTAGTATTCCTTATTAATTATTTCACCAATTATTTCAAATAAAATTTTAAAAATTCTAAAAAAAATAATAATAATAATAAACATGTTCTGCTTATTTTTTACTTTTACTTTTTTATTCCATGCAGCAAGAGAACCAATAAATATACGTTTACAAAAAATACTATCTAGAAAATTGTAATGATAGATATATACAAGACATATATATTTTATAAGATATATACAAGCATAAATTAATTTAATGCACAAAAGACATTATCAACTTCATCCCACAAAATGTCATTAATATTCATGTTAATAATTAGTATTCACATCACAGATTTGCAGGGTCAGTACATTTAGGTTTTCTATTTTCAAACCGTTATAGACAGTTCTGGCTGGGATTTTTGCCAGGACTTTGTTCACTCCCTCAATTTGGGAGTGAATAACGATGCAGCTCCTTTAAATGAAGATTGATCTGTGCTGTAAATCAAACATAAAAGGTTAGGCATTATGAAAATAGACACAAAAAAAGTCAATAAAATCCGATTAAAAAGTGCAGAGTAATACCACTTCTGCTTGGTATACCTTGGCTTACGTCAGTCCCACCCGTTGGTGTTCTTGTTCCCGCAAGAGTTGTTCCAAATCCAGGTGTGTTAGACCCGAGTGAGCCAACACCTGCACCTCCTACCGCTGGTTTTCCCATCCCTACTCCACTTGATCCTGCACTACTGAATGATGTCAACCCTGTTCCACTTTGTCCAGTCGCAGTAGAGCTTGATCCAGCACTGCCAAATCCTGTCAACCCTGGTCCTACTCCACCCAAACTACTTGTCCCTGTCTGGGCTAGACCTGTTCTAGTTGATCCTGGCCCACCTAATCCTGTGCTGCCCAGTCCACCTGAAAGGGTCCCTGTCCCCCCTACAGCTGTATTTAATGACCCTGTCACACCTGTTCCTGTGCTGCCCCATCTTGTGCTTGATCCTACACCATTAGGACTGGGAAATGCTGATCCCGTGGAGCCGGCCCCGGTCCATGGCAAGTTTGGTTTGCTCAGACCTGTTGAACTCATACCGGTCCCACCAGTATTTGGTATGTTTGGCAGACCAAAGGGGTTTGGCATGAATGGGTTAGTTCGCATTGGCGGCTGAAAAAAAGAAAACGTAATTCAAGATCATTACAAACACATTTAATTTACAATTGCATACATAATTGTTTGTAATATTAAAATAAATACATATATAATATGTATACAAGAACCATATTAACCTCACCTTACAGTTGGCAAGTGAAGTATTGAGATTCTCAACGGTGTTTGTGAGCGTTTTAATTTCTTTTTCTCTCAAAGAGATGAGCTCGCCTTTTAGTTTGTTATCATCTTTTAGTTTTCTGTTCTCCAGCAGAAGTTTTTCACTGTCTTGGTCATTCTTGAGCTGAAGTTGCTCAAGAGTTCTGCGACTCTCGCGAATCATGGCACTGCGATTCTGATTGCACCACGTAGCGTCCTCTTTCAGGCGTATGTTGTCTATCACATATTTGGCATTTTCCCCATTAATTTTTGTGAACTGGTTCCCCACTATGTCCAGATATGACTGGAGCTTGTTCTCGACTTCTCTTGAAAGACTGCTACAGTTTTCCCGAATGTCTTCAAGCTGATTTTTTTGTTTATCGCACGTTAGCTGGAAAGAAATATGTTTTGAGAAGAGGTCATCGATTCGTTTGAGGAATTCTTTGGTGACGTCGGGGATTCCTCGTAAAGAAGTGACAAAATCCTCTTTGCACTTCTTTTGGTACAAGGCGAGCTCATCTTCAAGGAAAGCCTTGTCTCGCCTTAGTCTAATAGTTTCCAAGTGATACCCATCCTTGTCTTTGTTGGAGTTGTCCAGCTCAGTTCTCACATTAGCCACAGTCTGAGTAAAGTTCGCTTTAACCAGCTTTAGCATTTCCTCTGACTGCTGGAGCATACTTTGCAAACGTCTGTTGTCTTTTAAAAAAACAATATAGTTGAAACTGTTGATCTGCTTGATTAACTTTATGCAGGAGTTACAGTCAGTGTGTTAAATAAACAAAAATTCAGAATTTTTGTACTCAAGTACCTTATAAAATATAAGAAATATTCGGTGTAAAGATTTTTTTTTTTGAAAAACCATCTCACCACTTGAATCTGGACAGAACGTAGGAGGGCATGCACGGGGAGCAGCCATTCTTTTTTCCATCTCGCATCGAGACTATAAAAAAAGAGCACAAAAAAACTATTAATTGAGGTTGAAGTCATGCATTTTAGCTCTCTAATTCTCTATCTGCAACATTCATGGAAGCCTATGTTAATGGTAATTATCATTCTGCCAGTGTTTTCCAGAATGTTCCAAAGAAAGGTTCTTACAACATTAAAAAAGCATATTTTGAAAAACATTTTGACAAAACTTACAGAAATTACTATTTCATAGACTAATGGGAATGTTAAGAAAACATTCTTAGAACAATATACATCATGCAATTAAATGCACCAAACACCACAGCATTCTCTTTTGTATGAAACATAATGTTATCTACAACAAATTAATTGATTGAATACATCAATTTTTTGACCCAAATCTCACCATTGTTGTTTGCATGCTCCTTATTGCCACAGATGAGGTGTTCGCCAGTCTGCGTAATTCAGCCAGAGCTTTGTCATTTTTCAGCTTTGCAGTGAGAGTGACGTTCAGAACTTTGGTGAGGTTCTTTTCCTTCCCACGGAGAATGAAATTTTCCATCGTGAGTTTGCTGACGCTTTGGTCCAACTCTTGCAGCCTCTTCTCCTCCACCGTGTGCTCGGGCTGTCCATACACCAGAAAGAGCACCAGACTTGCGATGATCAGAGACTGGATGAGTGAGGAGAAAAAGAAGACAATCTTCATGTAGTAACCACAGCTCTTGCCTTTCGACTTGTGCATCTTCTTGGCAGCCAAGCCAAAGTTGGCCTGAGAGTAACTGCTGTTGTACATCACTGCCCTAATCAAGCTCCTTCACTATGCAAAATGTTCTCCTAAAACATCAAAGGCAAAATAAGAAGTTACATATGTTAACGCTGCCAGCTTATATTGTTTTCCTGCACCTCCCATTGGATGACACTTCCCTGATCCACCCTATGCTCACGATTCCCAAGGTTAGAACAACATCACGCACTGACCAGGGGGTGGCCCAAACCCAGACTGTACATTGTCTCCAAAACAGATCCTTTTGTTTGACAGCATGTTGGCACTTGAGAAAGCTCATGGTTGATGGTTTGACTATGTGCTGTTTTGAACAGTTATTCAGAGATGAATTTAATCTATCTAGGTTAATGACCACAACATTGTACAACTTTTTTATATTGGTATCATGTAACAGATGCTCTAAAATACTCCTGATTGACTCGAGAATTGTAAAACACATTCCTACATGCTGTCACAAATTCTTCCTGATGTAGGTAGGATGAGGATGTGGTTTGTATATCGTGTCTTACTAAAACATTATCTTTGACCAAAGCATTTCAATCCATGGCCAGTTTTACTTTAAACATGATGAAATTAGGTTACCAGCTTGGTGCCTTTATATCATATTCTGTAGTTGTTCAGCCATATGTTTCTATTTTATTCTGATATCTTATATATCTTAAGAGTCAGAGGATAGGAATATTATGAAAGCATGTGGCTTTCCTGCCAGGAACTGTTGATGTGCCACCCCGATTCCAAGAGGAAACAGTAATTCATAGCTGTGTCTCAGAGTGACAAACGTAGAAGGCACTGTCTGGACACTTCTTAGGTAAACTACTGAACAAATGAAGGAAATCAGTAATAAACACAGATGTATACACATCTGCTGACATTATCAAGAATTAATCGTCCTGTTTATCTGTTTCTAAAATACGGCTGACGTTAAAATTATCATCATGTAACGAGATTCACTCGCACTCTGTTGTTTCAAATGTTTCCAAATCCCATAAACCTGCCAAAGCACACATTACCTCATTAACGTTAAAACGTTTGTGCTTGTATTATGTAATTACACCGACGAGACTTTACATAACAACAAGAGAAATATAAAAAAGAAAATAATGAAACATAACTTAAAAGCAATGAAGCTTGTGATGATCTACAGAAAATAATTTCGGGGTGACAGCAAAAAACCTTAACCCAGTAGAGTAAAATGCTTTATTTGGATGGCATTAGGAATTATACGTGATACATGGTTTGATAGTTAGCTACCTAAACTAGATTGCCTTTGAGATTCTAGTTCTCCACAGGTATAGTATAGCAGACTTCCTTTGGATGCTCCCAGCTAACAAAAAATATAAATAAACAATTAGCTAACGTTCCCTTTAAGTTGTGAAAATGTTATTTTTGAATGTTCTCTGAACATGCAAAATGTCCAGTTTTTATTTATTTATTTAGGTTATGTGAACATTCCATAGTTCTGAGAATGTTCCTTGTTAGCTGGGCTCAAACAGAGCAATGTTTTTATAGAGCTACAGAGTCAGTGTTTACACTTTTCAGATAAATTAGTCTCTGATACTAAACTGGAATAGCCTAGGTATATGTATTTTAACATAAAAAAATTTACAGAATTCTCTTCATCTCACCACTAGATGGAGATATTTCCAAATAACGCTAGCATTTTTGTCATTTTAACAGACACATCAAAAATATGATTAAAAAATGTTTATTTAATTGCAAAATAAAATAAATGAATAAAACAGTATGGAATATTTAATAAAATATAATATAATATTCAAAAATAAAATACAAATATTTTATTGCATAATAAAAACAATATTTTATTAAACATCTTTGAAGCCCATGTATGTTCCAACATGCTTTCAGGGCTCGGTAAAGTCAGCACAAGTAAGAGTCGCAATGCTACCCCATATCCTAAAAGAGATCAATCACATTCCTGAACCCTGGGGTCAAAAGCCAAATAATCACCAAGCTTGTACAATGCACATAACTCAAGCATGCGCTCTCAGACTCACACTCCTCTTTTCTTTAGTGCTCTTTCACACACACACATACACACACACACACACACACACACACACACACACACGTTTGTTTTTATGATTTACGG